TGCTGTCAAATGCATCATGATTTTAATGGAAAGCTCAGAAGGCTGAGATACTCATCTCCATAGGGCGCATTAATAGTGCCAACTTTTGACCCGCTGGCTTTGTGGGAGAGATGAAAAGCTCATTAAATCCTGCATGGTGATGTCAGGGTTCAGCAGTCAAAGAGACCGAATAAAAACAGTGCAGCTACAGCGAGCCCCAGTAATGGAAGGTGAGACCTTATAGTTTGAGCAGAGTGAACAGAATCCAGGCAGAGGACGTCACGGAGATGAGAACTTGACAGCTTTGGTGTCACTTCTCAAGTAATGCCTACCAAGTGCGCAAAGTCATTTAGGATGGCATGCTGATATTGGTTCTTCATGATTAATCTCTTGTGCTGGCATTTTTCTTCATTAGTAAGTCACTTCTGCTAACTGAATCAATACAAATGAAATTCTGAAAGCGATTACAGTTGGATTTCTTTGTTGTACTTGTTTCAGTGTGCTTTGATTTTGAGCCATATGAATGCAGCAGTGAGCTTGCTAAGCCCGACTACATGAATTAGAGGATTTACATTACTTATAATGCAAAATGATTTAATGCTTTGAGTAAAAGAGGCAATTTGCTGAGCTATAAAGCGTCAAAAATCCCCATCACTATATGTTCACTCACAATGACGCAGATCTATAATTATTAAATCATGACCCACTTAATATGATTGGGAGAGGATAACTTTCGTTTGACTTATGCTGATTTGTAATTTGCATTATTGCCGCTATCTGTCATTAGATTAGAAAGTTATTAACTTTAGATTTAAACAGCCCAGGGCTCCAATGATTATTGGAACACGTTGTTCCAAAAGGCCCAGATTATTGTGACAACGCTTCGTGAGCATGTCATCCGTTGGAAATAATTTGGTGACGATCATTTTTATGCCATCTGTACTAATGAGTTGTGCAAAAATAGGTAATGCAGTAGCTGTCATAATTGGCTGGGAGAATCATTTTGTGTTGAAGACAGAATGTAATTCAGATGTCATCTTAACAGCAAAAAGGTGTCATACCACACTGTTTAGATATTGCACAGGAGGAGCAATTTCACAGTTTCTAAGACTAGAGGTGGAAGAAACCAGATTTTGCATTGTTCAACTTTTAAGGGAACTAAATTAGTTCCTGTTTTAAAGTCGAGTCTGACCTACAGCACAAACTGAACCAAGGGTGATGTAAGTGTATGTTGATTGGACTATTCCAGGCCAAACAAAACCCCAGCACAGGTTGTTTAGTTTTACAAGACATTCATAAACAAAAAGCTCATGTTAGTGGCATTTATTTGTAACCTTTACATGCTGTGCTGTGTGCTTTTTTCAATGGATCTTTTTGTCTTTTTTAATTACATTGTTATATGACTATTTTCTTTCTCTGTTATCATGAAATCTATAACGAATCACAGCTTGGTCATGGCAACATACATCCTCCAGTTGTTGATTTGTTGAATACTACGTTCAATGTTGCTGCAAGCCATGGAGCATCCTTTCATAGTTGTTTGTGACAGTGCAAATACAACCAGGAACCAGGGGCCTCATGTATCAACGCTGCGTACGCACAAAAACTTTGCGTACGCCAAGTTTCACGCTCAGAATCGCTCACGTTTGGATTTACTAACAATGAACTGAACGTGGGAATGTGCGCAGGTTCACGGCAGCTTTCTGGCAGGCGTACGCACATTTTTTGTGCGTGTCTGTTTTATTTCCATTGGCGACTCCTAGAGGCAGTTGTGTTAAATTCCTCTCTACAAAGTGTCTGAGCCTTGCAATGGCAGCTTTATGAGACGGGTTCATATAGTAGGTATGTAAGATTTCCATACCATACAGTTGACCAGCTAAACATTAAAGCACAATTTGCAGCGGTCGCCTGTTTTCCCAATGTAATCTGAGCTATCTACTGCACGCACATTGCTATAAAGACACTATCTGAAGATGAATTTGCATGCGTGAATCAGAAACATTTCCATTCAATAAATGTGCAAATAAAATATGATGCACAAACTTATTGATGATTCCTACTTGTCTTTCTCTTGATAAATAGTGGGCAAAATCTGATATGTAGCGGGGAAAAAAATAAAGAATTCATTAAACGCTGGATTCGAGCCGAGATTATGCTCGAACATGTCAGTACGTGATCACATGCTTCTTATGAGGTGCGCCACTGAGACTGCTAAGGGTACTGCAACATTTTTCAGTTATAAACCACACTATTTCTTTTTTAATGCACTCAGTGCGATGTTCAGACCCAACTGTGTTAACTGCATCAGCTAAACTCTCCCACTCTATTTTTTTCTTTTGTTGTTAATTCCGGAGAACAAACTTGCAAATAACACCGCTTTTCTCCGGTCTACCTCCGAAAGCAGCACCTCCAATTCACATTCTGTTCAAAGTTTCTCTATTTGCTTGATTTTGCCGTTGCTTTTTCGTTGGGTTTTGCCATTAGCATAGTCATTAGCATATTCATACGGGGGAGGAGGCAGGGAGGGGTTTTGTGCTCGTGCATGTTGCGCTCAGTTTCACGTTCATTCAGATGTACAAAAGAATATGCGTGAGATTCGGCGTACGCAGTGTTTCATACATCTGAATTTTTTTCTGCGTACGCACATTTACAGCTTTGTGCGTACGCAATGTTTTAGTAAGATTTCCACGCAAGTCTTCGTACATGAGGCCCCAGGAGTTTGGACAACCAGCCTGGTGGATACATGAATTTCTTTAACTACCTGGTGCAATGTTTGACATTTTTAGGAAAGCTCTTTGAAAATTTGTAATGCTGGTTCTACCTATGGTAAATGCCAACACTGAGGTAGATTGTGTCGTTTAAACAGGGCATAGTCGGTAATAAGGAACCCTAGGCTTTCCAAGAAAGTATGACCCAAATCATTGTACCAAACATGGCTAAATCATTGATACTACTCAGGATAGGTCCATGCTTTCATGGTGTTTATGTCAAATTCTGACCTTACCGTAAAAAGGTTGCAACAAATATTGACTCATCTGACCAGTCAATCTTTATTTTTGTTTACTTTTGCTGATTCTGTTGTTTTTTTATTAAACTATTTATTTAGTGACCTATAATTGATTTGTTTGTATTAGCTGTCATAGAGTCCTTGTAACAGAGTGTTTATAAAAAGAGCATCTACACTCACCCGCATTTTATTAGGTACACCTTTGGGATGTGGTGGAATGGAAGATTTGCATCATGTATGTGCAGCCGACAAATTTACAGCAACTGTGTGATGCTACCATGTCTATATGGACCAAAATCTCTGAGGAATATTTCCAGTACCTTGTTGAATCTATGCCACTAAGGATTAAGGCAATGCAATAGGGGGTCCAACCCAGTAATAGTAAGGTGTACCTAATAAAGTGGCCAGAGAATGTAGTCTTTTGTATTTAGAGAGGTGAACGTCCATTTTCTACGGGTGGTTTGTCAAGCCCACTTACATGTTTGAAGCACATTCAGTATTGCACAAGGTTTTCCCAGAAATAATTAATTATGTGTTCAGAGATGCTTTTCTGTAGACCTTGGTTGTAACAAGTGTGGTTCTATTCTGTTCTCTTGCACCAACATGGAATTTTTCCATTTTCATTTTTTCATAGTGTTTATGTCGAATTCTGACCATACCGACAGAATGTTGCAGCAGAAAATGACTCATCTGACAGTCAACCTTTTCCAATGTATTTTTGTTCACTTTTGTTGATTCTGTTATTTGTTATTGAACTATTCATGGTATTTAGTGACCTATAATTGATTTATTTGTATTATTTGTTATAGAGTCCTTGTAACAGAGTGTTTATAGGAAAGCATCTACACTCACCAGCCACTTTATTAGGTACACCTTTAGGATATGGTGGAACGGGAGATTCACATCATGGATGTGCAACCCACAAATCAGCAGCAACAGTGTGATGCTATCATGTCAATATGGACCAAAAACTATGAGGAATATTTCCAGTACCTTGTTGAATCTATGCCACTAAGGATTAAGGCAATACAATAGGGGGTCCAACTGAGTAATAGTAAGGTGTACCTAATAAAGTGGCCAGAGAATATAGTGTTTTGCATTTAGAGAGGTGAGAGTCCATTTACATCTACAGGTGGTTTGTCAAGCCCACTTACCTGTGTGAAGCACACTCAGTATTGCACAAGGTTTTCCCAGAAAGAATTAATTGTGTGTTTAGAGATGATTTTCTTTACACCTTGGTTGAAATGAGTGTGGTTCTATTTTGATCTTTCGCACCAGCATGCAATTTTATCTATTTCTTTTTCTGACACTAGTAAAGCTGGTGATGGTTGTGCATGATAGTTCCAGTAGCCCCATTTTCTGAAATTCAACAAACAGGCCAATTTTAAGGTCTTTTATAGCAATTTTCCCCATTCTTATTCATATTTTGAACAGCAGGTTGTCTTGACCACACAGGTGAATAGCGGTTTCTAATGAAGTGGCCATATAAACTGAAACAATGTAATACTTTAGATCAATATGCTTTAAGATCAATAGAAATAACTTCTAACAAGACATCTTAAAAAATATAGTTAACAATTTTTAAAATATTGGAAACCAGTAACTATTGACATTGACAATAAAAAAAACAAATACTATGGATATCAGTGTTTAACAGTTTCTAATATTATTTAAAATATCTTCATTCGTGTTCAACAGAACTATTTGGAAGAATTCAAGAGAGAGTAAATGATGACAAAGCTTTCTATTTTTATCTCTTTTAGTATAAACTCTCATTTGAATTTCCATGATCTCAATTTTTACGCATTTCCACATTAGCCAGTCTTAATAATAAAAAAAACATGCTTGTAATTAATTCCCAAATGCTCCATTCCTCTAGATGTTTTCACGTTGTAATATTAAATAATGCTGTCATCTTGCAGGTCTAATTAATTAGTCACACAATGCTTGGTAATTGCACGCAGCACCTGTGACCTTTGGTTTGATGATATCTTTCTCTTGTTCTTTCCCTTAGCGAACCTCCGCAAGCACAGTGCTTCTCACTGGCGCATGCAGAACATCGCACAGGAATCTGTTGACAGCTCGGATGATGAGTTTTTTGATGCCAGAGGTAAGTGTCACTGGTTTCCCACCCTTTATAATAACCTGATGACTTCGGCTCTTTGGCATCTGTGCTCTCCTCCTCTCTCTTTCTTGCACCCTTTCTTTTTATGTCCATCATATAATATGTATTATAGGCGCCATACATCATTGTGGATGTATTCCTCAGAAGCATGCAGCTGAAAAGTAATAGATTTGAAGGCTTTTCTTGTGATGAATCCAAATGCTAAACTGTGGCTTTCTGTTATTGTGATGTAGATTGTGGTGATGTGCTGCGTGTGATTGAACCGTTTTCTGAACTAGTCTTGATTTAATCTTATCTGCTGTAGTGGGGTCTAAATAGCAACTCTTTACAAATCAGCAGGGCTGTATGATTTCTGCGATACAGAAAATGCAGGCGTAATTGTAAAATCTAGGTTGTGTGTCCAACAAAAACATTTCTAGCCTGCTGAAAACTTCAATTCACTTCTGAAAATGTCTTGCTGTGGATGTTTGAAAATTTTTTTGTGGTGCAGCATTTTTTCCCCATCAGTTCAGATGCTTTTGTTTGTTAAACAGCATGTCTTTTGCACATTTTTTCATCTTTTTTCCTCCATGTTTTGATTCTTATATTAATTAAAATATTATAAATATTTTCAGAACTCAAAATCGATGAATAAATAAAAGAAGATATAAAATTATTTTATTGGTTTAAGGTTTTTGATTAATTAGCTTGTTGATTACTATATTTGAATTTAACAATATAAAATTAAATACAGAAATAAAGAAATTAAGAAATTTTAAATAAGATAAAAATAAAGCAAATTTTAAATAAGAAAGAAACATATAAAATTAAATAGAATAAATTAGTTTAAAAAAGAAAAAGATTTTAAAAATAAAATAAAATTTCTATTAAAAAATAAAATAAATAAATAATAAAAATGTAAAAATAAAATATAGCATAGAATAGAATAGAATAGAATAGAATAGAATAGAATAGAATAGACAGAAGGAATGACCGGGTTCTAAATCAGCATAATGTGGCAGTTCATTTTAAGTATCACTGCACCTGCAAGCGAGTTAAAGGCCACACATTAAACAACTCAGGATTTGCATTAACAGCAAAAAAGTCACCATTAAACAAATTCCTGTTCCTAAATTCATAGAGCTTCTCTTTGCATGTGTCAGCATCACACCTTTCCATTATCTTTTTTTCCCCTATAGAAAACATTTACATTTTGCTGACTCTAATATCTAAAGCATCTTAATGTGCAAGGACAGCATCTTGTCACAAACCATTTAGTTTACTTAATCTAAGTAATTTTATACTACATGCATGAAATAAGTACTGTATGGCAGTCTTGTTTTTTATGGAATAACATGCATCACTAAATCTTACACAGTGGTTTGTGTAAAGAGTATTAGCAACTTAAATACTGCCACTGTTGACTTTAAAACGTTCACACAAACTTTCACTCACCCGCCCACATATGTTGTTTTTCTGACCCTATTTAGAATGCAAAACTTTCACATTTCTATAGTGAAGCGTCAGGTTTATTACATAACACACTGCAGCCTATATGACTTTTCTTCTAAAATTAGCATTTTTCCTACGCTCCTATGTGCATGTTAAGTAATATCACTTATATGGAAAAGAACATGTTATTTCATGCCCTTTAAAATGGAACAACTGAACAAAAACACAGGAGCTGCAAATATTTATAAAACACAAAATTATTTTGTGAAATAACCGGTTTTCTGATTCTCAAATATGTTTAAGGACACATTTTGTCATTTAAACTGCTTAATAGTGATCATCTTATTTGATTAATCATTGGTGATAGCCATTGACATGCGTTGCAGTGGAGAGATTAGAGTTGCTGGATTTAAATCACATAAATGCATCAGTTTCTCTCCAAATGCATGAAAAAGTGTCTGTTTAACTCAGAGAAGCACAAAGAAAGCATTTTAGTAATCTAATAGTGAGTATCTGATATGATAATAGACCATAGTCAGAGACAATGTGTAAAATGATAATTATGAATGTCTCCATTGACATCAGCATGTATCATTTTGCAACTATTTATTGTCTGAAACCAAAAAATCGTGACTGAAAACACTGATAAGTTGTGATCTACTGTATGATCTAAGTTGTGATCTGTTCATGTCTTTCGCCAGCCAACGAGGGGAAGTAGATTTGAATTCAGCAGCTAATCACATGACACACTGAACTTTCTAATCTCACCATTGTGATCATACATGCCAAAGGGCTAAATGTGAAAAGAGCAGATACAGTAAGTGTGCAGAGGTTTATTGCATAATGCTGTGCTGTTCAAACCTGTAGTTGAGTCCCAGCACAGCCGCTAGCATTCTGCCAGTGAATATAGGTGTGACTAAAACTGGTGATTCTCCATTAGACGTGCGAACAAGGTCACATCGTCTCTTGAGGCGAATTAACAAATTAGTTGCTTTTGATTGTTTTAGTGTTTAAGATAAAATGAGCTCTATTCTGCACTGCAGTTGTTTCATGTAGTCCCTATGAGCTGTCTTATTGCACATCAACGCATTAGTAAAAAATGTAAGATTGATTTGTAGCGGTGTATAATGCAATCAGTAAACCTGCGTGTTTCCACATCTATCTTTCATGAGACATTCATTTCGCATTCATTGTTAATGAGCCTCCCACTTTGCCACACAAAACAGAACCTCAATTAAAGTCCAGATGTTACAGCAAAATAGAATGGGGAAAATGCCAAATAGTTACCAAATGTGTATTGTAACCTTCATTAGGCTTCGTTTAGGTGAACTACTTTTTTTGTGTGATATGTACACTACCATTTAAAAGGATTGGTGTCTGATTTTTTTTTTATACACTCACCGGCCACTTTTTTAGGTACGCCTTACTAGTACTTGATTGGACCCCCTTTTGCCTTCAGAACTGCCTTAATTGTTCACACCATAAATTCAAAAAGGAAATTTGAAGATTTTGGTCCATATTGATTTAATAGCATCACGCAGTTGCTGCAGATTTGTCGGCTGCACATCCATGATGCGAATCTCCCATTCCACCACATCCCAAAGGTTCTCTATTAGATTGACGTTTGGTGATTGTGGAGGCCATTTGAGTACAGTGAACTCATTGTCATGTTCAAAAAAATCAGTCGGAGATGATTCACGCTTTAGGACATGGCGCATTATCCTGCTGGAAGTAGCCATCAGAAGATGGGTACACTGTGGTTATAAAGAGATGGTCAGCAACAACACTAATGGGCCCACAAGTGTGCCAAGAAAATCCCCCACACCATTACACCACCAGCAGCAGCCTGAACTGTTGATACAAGGCAGGATGGATTCATGATTTCATGTTGTTGATGCCAAATTCTGATGTTAACATCTGAATGTTGCAGCAGATATCGAGACTCATCAGACCAGGCAACGTTTTTTCAATCTTCTATTGTCCAACTTTGGTGAGCGTGTGTGAATTGTAGCCTCAGTTTCTTGTTCTTAGCTGATAGGAATGGCACCCAATGTGGTCTTCTGCTGCTGTAGCCTATCCGCCTCAAGGTTGTACATGTTGCGCGTTCAGAGATGCTCTTCTGCATAACTTAGTTGTAACGAGTGGTTTTTGAGTTACTAGCTATGTTTCCATCCAAAAATGCGAATGAACTTTATGCGCAAAACTGGCTTATTGCATAAAAGCCGTGCAAGTAAAGCAGTGCTTCCATCCAACTAGTCAAAGCAAACAAAATCGTCACTTCCTGATTTTACTGTTGCCAAATATCAACAGTAAAAACTGAATTTGCTGCAGTAGGAGAAGCTGCATCAATCTTTTCTTAATTTAATAAATGACCTGCGCCTCAGAAGGCAATCCTGACACGCAGTGAACGCACGGTGGCGATTGAGGGTGTCAGATGCGGAGTACAGACGCTCTTGATTCTGGAGGTCATTAATAATATAATAACACAAGGCTAAAACTTAAACAGTAAGGCGTTTTAGAATTACCAAAACAACATTTCAGATGATTTACAGTGTGCTCAGCCTGCTGGTTTTTCCATTCACACACATTTCCATCATCACATGATCTCTTATAACAAAATCAAAAAGGGGTTCCATCATAGTTTATGCTCATCTTTTCTTATCGAATAAAAAGTTTGTCCTGCTCAGTTATGCGCATATGTTTTTTTGCGCATCATGGGCATCCTGGCCTCTCCATCAACCTTTTTATGCGCATATGCAAAATGCGCATAAAAATAGGTGGGTGGAAACATAGCTACTGTTGCCTTTCCCTCAGCTGGAACCAGTCTGGTCATTCTCCTCTGACCTCTGGCGTCAACAAGGCATTTGTGCCCATATTTGCGTCGCTTAATAGACATTTTCTCTTTTTCAGACCATTCTCTGTAAACCCTAGACATGGTTGTGCATGAAAATCCCAGTAGATCAGCATTTTCTGAAATTCTCAGACCAGCCCGTCTGACAACCATGCCACATTCAAAATCACTTAAATCAGCTTTCTTCCAAATTCTGATGCTCGGTTTGAACTGCAGAAGATCATCTTGACCACGGCTACATGCCTTAATGCATTGACTTGCTGCCATTTGATTGGCTGATTAGAAATTTGTGTTAACAAGTAGTTGGACAGTTGTACCTAATAAAGTGGCAGGTAAGTGTATATTTATGTAACATAGCCAGTATACAACGGAGTTGAGGATCCACATGCAGTGTATATATGTTCATTGTTTACTCACCCATTACCTGTTCCAAACCTGTTTGACTTTCTTTCTTCTGTTGAACATGAAAATATTTTGAAAAATGCTGGAAACTAGTAACCACCTTTCATTTCCTTCAATGGTTGTCACTGGTTACAGGTTTTCAGCTTTCATCAAAAATGTGCTTTTGTTTTCAACAGAATAAAAGCATTCATAAAACTTGAAGATGAATAAAAAATGTAGGTTTAACTATCCCTTTAAATTTGATAATTGGCATCATAAAAGAGACATTTGTGTAATCTTGTAAAAGGTTTATATTTCAATG